TTTTTCCAAAACTGCATTTGTATTTATTATTTAAAAAATGCTGTCTTTAAGCACTTCAGATAAACCCACTGACCACTTCCTGTTCACGTTTCTTTCAGGCAGCGGCGCCTCAAAATGTTCATCCCAAAGTACCCAGATGCAAAGTTGACCCTGACCATTTGCTGGGGATTCTGGGCATTGTGGGCACCGTCCTCAACCTGCTGGTGGTGGTGCTGGTGTACATCTACACCCCTGTGTAACACCAAAACGTGTGGTTTTTGTTGTATCCCAACCTTTAAAGCTGGCTTTATAATTGTGACTGGCTGAACTGTGTTTGCAGGACTGTGTTTTGTCTTGATGTGTCCTGTAGATGTAGAATAGCTGTTTGTTCACAGGTTCCAACAGATCAGTGGAATCACAGATCTTTTATGTAACAGTTTGGCCGCCTTGCTCCTTTAGTGCACTTTTTGTACATTTACTTGTGAATACATTTATATTTTTAACCAATAAATTTAAGCTATTTTCTCCTTGTTCCTTAACAAGTGCACCTTCATTTATAAAGGATGACCCACCACAGCCACTATAAATAAAACCTCAACAATAAAGGTCATATTGTAGGAAATACTTTCCCACAAATACTTGAGTAAAAAATAAAACTACAGAGATTGTATTTCCTATGAAAATGCAGTGAATGCTTATTGCTGAAAAACAGCTGAAAGTAGCTGAAAAAGTTTAATTTGCACAAGGAAGCTGAAAGAAGCTGAAGCAGAACAAAATGTGAAAGGAGCAGTAAAATGTAAACAGATCTAATGATTTAAAGGATGTAAAATGAGTTTAATTCATTTTCTATGAGGAAAAAAAATATGGCATAAAAGGCTAAATACTTCAAGAAGCTAAAGTTGCACCAAAACCAAAAGTCACAGCAGGATTGTCCTGAAAGAGCCGAACGTTTTGATTTGTGATTTGTTGAAATAGACAAAAACTGTGGAACAAGAAAGACGCCAAAAACGTATGAAAGAAAAATGGATCACAACAGTGTGAATGCTTTATAAGTGATTGAACAATGAAGGTTTGAGCAGCATTCAGCCTTCAGGAATACACTCTGTATCAATTTATACAACTGTTTTAACGTATATATTCAACTCGTATAAAGAAACAACAACAAAAAAAAACTGGACAAAAATAGTTTGTTTTAAATGTATTGAGAAATATTCATTTTTACCAACAAAAAAAACCAACTGCAGGACAAACATCATACTCAAAAAAACAACAACTGGTCTTTACTTGTAACAAGATGTTTCACTTCTCACACGAGTTTCTCAATGCAAAGAACAGAGAGCGTGGGGTCTGAGTTATAAATCTGAGCTAACATACATACATACATACATACATACATGCATACATACATGCATACATACATGCATACATGCATACATACATGCATACATGCATACATGCATACATACTTAGCTCAGCTTTATGACTTAAACCCCACACTCTCTGGTGTTTGGATCGAGAAACTCCTCGGATGAGAAGTGAACCATCTTCTGTTACAAATAAAGTCGTTGTTTTTGAATTTACCATGATGACTGAGAATCTTCACCAGTGCAGGAAAATTTAAAAAATTTAAAAAAGAGTGAGAAAGTGCCGTTTTTAAACTTAATTTCTTTCTAAAAAAAAAATAAAAAAAAGATACTGTAAACCTCCAGCAGGACGCGCAGTTGAAAAATAAATACATCAGAAGTAAATGTTAAATGTAGTTTCATAAGCAAAGCTAACTCTCAACGTTAGCCTCGCTGAGTGTCATTTAATGTTTGATGGAAGTATACCCATGCTGACAGTAAAACTTCAGATCATAAAACTGTTTTAAAGTACAGGAGCCGTCACACGACTGGCCTCTCCCATGTTTATGTCCGGCAGTATTTGGCAGCTGGTGATGATGTCAAGCTTCTCCGACACGGCCTTGAGGTCATCCAGGATTAATCGGATGCTGTGGGACGCGTTGATGATGGCGCTCTGGGATGCATTCAGCTGAGATGTTACACTGTGCACCTTGAAAAAACAGTGAAGTATTAGATTTAATAGAGGAGACTCTTCTTTTTGTAGTTTCTGAAAAGCTGGTCAGACTTTAGCCACATTTATCTTGAGCTTTATTTTATTTCTTGTTTGAGCTTCTATCCATTCTAACTTTTATTCTACTATTCTATTTTGTCTATATTAAAAAACTACAAGAGGACATACCTCCTTGCTAGCGCTGCCGTAAACCTGCTTTACCATTTGTCCCACGTCAGTAAACAGCCGGCTGTTTGCCTCCTGCAGCTTCTGCTGTAGAAGAGTTTCACCTGGAAACACAGAAACTGAATCATGGTTTTATTTCCCACTTCATTAAGAACTCTGTTCTATTGTAATGATGGAAGTTATTTAAAAGTCTGACATTTTTAGGCCAATCACACATCAGTCCTGAGTCTGGGTCAGTGAATGGAACTGGTTGAACTCGTGTTTACATGAGGCTGTGAAACCGAAATACTTGAGATGGTAAAGTTCACAAAAAAAAACTAAACGGTATGTTTGAGTCCTTCAGTATAACATCTAATACACAGTGTCACATTGTTAGCAAAACATGTAATGATTTGTAATTAAACTTGCAGAAAGTAATTATATATATATATATAACTGATTACCTTGTGCAGTGAACAACTCTCAGTGACTGCTACAGCTATAACTGTGCTGTATGGCTCGTCAGTTTTACAGATAGTGTTCAACACTTGGCTGTGCTTGGAGCCGAGACTCATTCACAGCACATTGATTCTGCTTCAGCATGATCTGTTGGGACTCGATCCTGTGGGTCTGTTGTAAAATATCTAATAAACTGAACACATTTTCATGAAGCTTTCAGAAAATAATCCCTGGATGTAAACCTACAAACAATAAATGTCCTGATGGTTTCAAACTGTTAACATTTATTTATCGTGATAGTAGTTTCTTTTTTCTTTTGATAAATGAAAATGCTTATTGTCAATTACCCTGTGACGTGTGCTGACCACTTGACCAGGTCACCCTTGTGAAAGAGATCTCGATCTCAACGGGCTCTACCTGGTAAAATAAAGGTGATTGATTGATTGATTGTTCGGAGTCGATCCAATTTGAGATGACCGCCACAGCTAATTGACATTAGCCGACACAAAACTGGCTGCAACTCCATCGGTTATGCTGATATGGAGCTAAAATCTTAATATGCTAGTAGCCGAGAGTCGTTCACAACACAGGGTACGACATCTCACAATGCTGCGAGACTGAGCCCAACGTGATCTTCAAAGTTTGACCAAAACAGCTACAACTCCAGTGGCAGCAGATTGCTTCTTTCCCCCACTTCTCTTGCATATTTTAAACAATTAATAAGACTACAAACCTTAACCAACCAAAATTTGACAACTTTTCACTTCTGCAAGTATGGTTGCTCATTTTCCTCTTTTAGGCAGTAAAAAGAAAGAAGAGTGATCATGCAGTCACATCCTCTGGTCAATGTGAACTCCTCACCATGTGGCCTGTGTGAAGGGCTTGGTCTGTCTTCCACTATAGACTGGACATCAGGGTGGTCTCTGACCACAATGAGAGGAGGCAGGTCTCTTCTGAGGATGTGGCTGTCCTGACTCCCAGCTGAGGCTCTGCCTGTCTGCTCTGGGTCCTCCTCGCTGTCAGTTTCTGAGGCCTCCCCCGGAACCTGCAGCATCCATAAGAAACAATAAAATACAGTTTTAACGGTGGTATCGTCTGTCATGCACACCAGAAAGACCACCTTAGTTCCGCCTGTTGTGACAGTTTGCTGAGTAGAAAGCGAAGTGATATAGACTTCATCGTCAGAGTCCGTTTCGGACGCCTCGCCCTGCACCACGATCGAGTAACTGCTGGACATGACGACAAACGACGAGCTCTTCGGCCACACCACGGTGGAGCTAATTAACGGGAAGTAATAAACACTTTGCCCTCATTTTTAGATTCTTGAAAAGTTTTAAATCGCTAACGAGATCAAAAAGTCAAATCTTTCTTTCCGTAAACACAAAATCACGTGAGATAGGAAGTCTCTTGCTCTCCCTAGACCAATCAGATCGGACGTTTAATGGCACGTGACAAATTACGTCACGTATCGTTGGTTCACTGACGCTCACCGCAAACAGATGAACCAGTGGATGTAAAACTGTATCTTGACACAACCTCAGACTCAAATAACAAAAAGGCTATAAAAAATATCTGTAATGAATACAACTTAACTTTGTAAGTCGCATTTATTTGTCTTTGTATTTTTTATTTAATTTATTTTTTCTTATTTTATTATAGTTTGCTTTCTTTTTTCTTCATTTTTTTGATATGTTAAATGTTATTTAGTGTGTATTTTTTTAGATTCTTGTATTTGAAGTCAAGTTCTAAATAAAGATTAAAAAAACAAAACATGATGAACCACACTCCCTACCAGTTGGTGGCGGTAATGCAGATTTTTGCCAACTGCCAATAAACTCAAGAAGAAGAATTTCAAGACAACAATGCATAGTTTAAATGGTGTTTTGAGGTTTGTTTACTCAGTGGTGTGTTTTAGATTATCATACGATTACAAGCATTTCATCACTAATTTATGTATGTATCGCTTATTGTGCCCATTTATTTTCTGTTGTATTGGTAACTCCTCCTAACTCCGCCTAGATGAATTTTTGGGGATGTCCTGCGGTGAATATCGAGCGCTACCTGTGAGAAGCTAACCGGAGCAGGCTAGTGTTGTGTGAGGATACGTCTAACAGCAGGTACGATGGTCGGAGTACCTAACAGTCGAAAAAAAATGTAATACTTATCAACTGTATGTATGTAGTGAGTTTATTCGAACATAGTAAATTACCACGAGTTAATATGTCATAACCGTGTTGCACGGAAGCAAAGCTGATAATTTTAGCTAGCTAGGAGGCGGTGAGAAACCGTAGGTGGTTCATTTACTTTTAAGCTTTTCCTTCCGTCGTTGGTGTTGTTGCGCTGACTGAGCTGACATTTGAGTGTTTTACAGAATGGCAGACGAGTCCCTGTTTGAGTTCCTCCATATGGAGATGGTGTCGCATGTTTTCACTGAACAACAGTCCAGCAAAGGAGAAATGGACAACAAGGCGAGTTAGCTTCGACATGCTAACGATGCTGGCTGAACCTCTCTGTTGTCTCAAGTTTATATTGTCAGTTCTTTGATGGGATGCAGTTTAACCTATGTGGCAATTGTTTTCTGAGTAGGACAGAGCTGTGTGTATTTCTGTTTTGGAAGCCATGGGCTTCAGGGTTGGACAAGGACTCATTGAGAGGTAAATAACACACATACTGTACTAGATGGGCAACAATAATTGCAACATTCATGCTTTTTCTAAGTGTCTGTGTTAAATATTTTGTAGACTGACCCGGGACTCCCCCAGCTTTAAAGATGAGTTGGACGTAATGAAGTTCGTCTGTAAAGACTTCTGGACGAAGGTGTTCAGGAGACAAGTTGACAACCTCAGAACAAACCACCAGGTAAAATAAAATCATAGAGTCCAGGTTTTCAATCTGGACTTCTCATTAAAATGAACCAAATATATGGTATTGGTTTTAATTGTCTTGTGTCAAAAAGTCTCTGCTGCTAAAACACAACAATCTCCTCCTGCAAGGGATTAATAAAATACATAGTCAGGTCAAGTGTGATCAATTTACAATTTCAACAATGCACCAAATGGATCAAAGAAAGACATATTGATGGACACAAACAAGCAAACCGTCATTTCAGTGAATAATGTCTCATTCAACGCAACAAAATTTATAGGTGTCAGCCTTCAATATCTTTGCAAAAGTTCAAACAAGTATTTTGTTCCTAGTCAGATAAAGGCTTCACACACACACACACACATATATATATATATATATATATTTACACACACACACACTTAAGTATTAAATACATGCTGACCTCTGCTAAAACACACACTCTGCATATACTGCTGTACTGTAAATAGTCTGCCATTCTCAATGTTCAACACATATGGAACATTATTATTGTTATTGCTTTTCTTATTTCTTTTTATATTGTTTTTAACATTTTAGGAACGTTTTGTGTGAACCTTTTTCATCTGTTGCTGTTACTGCTGTTGAATCCATGGGATGATAAAGGCTGTTTCTATTCTATGCAAACCATCTAGAATTGTATGTACTTTAGATAAGTAGTGTCATATGCCATGTCCCACATGTTGTGGTGTCCTTGACCAAGACACCTAATCCCTAATTGCTCCCTTATGCTTCCACAGCTGCCCACTGCTCCACCTGGGTGTATCTCAGGTGGATGGGTTAAATGCAGAGAACTCATTCCATCATTGTATGGGAACATACGATGATGACAACATAAAGCACTTTACATATGTTCTTGTTTTCATTTTGTTTAAACTATCTGGATTTATGTGTGCTATTTAAATCTGTATTTGGCTTCACAGGGTACCTATGTCCTGCAGGATAACAAGTTTTCTCTCCTGACTCAGCTCTCCAATGGAAAAGAGTATCTGGATCAGGCTGCCAAGGTATAAAATATTCTAATAACCCCGAGCGGCTAAACATTTTGTAATCTTACATACAACCTAAGAAATCAGAAATGATTTCATGTAACTGGTCTTGATTTGTTTCTCCTTCTGTTTTTC